CTTAAATTGTGGAATAAAAATGTGTTTCGGCATCTTAGACAAAAGAAAGGCAGGGTGTTGGCTAGGTTGATTGGGATTCAAAGAACTTTTCGTAAGGGGCCTAATTCTTTTTTGAGTAATTTGGAAATGCAACTGAATGATGAGTTTAATTTTATTCTGGATCAAAAAGCTTTGTTTTGGCATCAGAAATCCAAGTTAAGAAGGCTTCAGGAGGAGAAATACTAAGTTTTTTCTTCTCACAACTATAATCAGACGAAGGAGAAATAGATCTGAATGATTAAAGAATGATGAAGGGGCTTGGGTGGAGGTTGCTGCAGGTATTAAAGATTTGGTTGTGGGTTTTTTTTTCCAAGTTCTTTGCTCATGTTCAAACTACAATTAATGTGAGTCTTCCTAATTTTTTCCCTTCAGTTACTGATGGTGAGATTACCTTCTTAGCGCAAAAAAATTGATTTGTTGGAAGTGAAAGATAGTTTATTTAGTATTGGTGGTTTTAAGGCCCTGGTGTTGATGGTTTTCCTGCTTGTTTTTATCAACACCAGTGGGATTTGTGTACTTCTGATATATATGTTATGGTGTGGGAAGCTTTTCAAAAGAGTAAATTCCCTATGGAGCTTAATGCCGCTTTAATTACTTTGGTACCTAAGGTGGAAAATCCTCACTCTATGGTTCACTTTAGACCAATCAGTTTGTGCCGCACATTGCATAAAGTCATCTCTAAAATTTTGGTTGCTCGTCTGCGCACTATTTTGCCCAACTTGATTAGTCATGATCAAGTTAGTTTTGTGCCAGGCCTTCATATAACTGATAATATAATGATTGCTCAGGAGCTTATGCACAAGTTTAAGTTAGCTAAGGGGAAAAAATGGATGTTTGCTTGGAAGATTGACCTTTCCAAAGCCTATGATAGGTTTAACTAGGGCTTTATTGAGTCTGTTCTCTTGGGAATAGGGTTACCTACTAGTTTTATTCAGCTTATTATGCAGTGTGTGTGTTATTATGAAATTTGTATTGTCATTTCCTAGACTCTAGCATAGGTTGAAAATTAGTGTGTGAGGAATTGTTACTGGACGTGTTGGCTCAACTCATTCAACCACATACTTCCGAGGCATGACTTGACCATATGAGAAACTTGACAATAGGTAAATCATGACATAATCACGCATTCATTATAGGATTCCTAGTTGGAATTATTTTCACTCAAGTATTTTTATGTTAATCCTATTTTTAATAGGATTAGATTTTATCTCTTGATATTACTTCCTACTTGACTGGTCTAATTCCTTTGTTTTAATAGATATTGTTTTTCTATTAAAGATTAGTTAGTTGGCGTCAAAATAGGATTAGATTTTATCTCTTTATATTATTTCCTACTTGACTGGTCTAATTCCTTTGTTTTAATAGATGTTGTTTTTCTATTAAAGATTAGTTAGTTGGAGTCTTTTCTAAGAATCCATTTTGAACCAAAACTAATAGTCTTAATTGAATAACATATGCGGTCCTGCTTTGATGTCTTTACTGAGAGATTATATTGGATCAAGTTTTGGAGTCATAGTTGAATAGGTTTGCTGTGAGTTCATATTGCATCAGGTTTTGTAGTGTGGTAGTTGAATAAGGTTGAAAGTCTTTGTTGAAGAGGATTGGTGGTCACGTGGGTTTCTCTCTAGAGAGAAACCTGCACGAATAAAACAATTGTTGTTTCTTTTCATCAGTTGGCTGTTCGCGCATAATTTTGGAGAGCATATTGAATTTATTTGTGAAAAAGCTGTTGTGCATTTATTTGAGATAAATCATCAAGTGTTCCATGTTTACTTGGTGATTTATCAAACACTTTCTTCATTCATATGCATGTCGGTGACTCATACGGTTGAGGGCATCAAGACCGTGGTGGCGGTTTTTCTCCTGCGAGCTTGAAGCAATCGTGACCAGTATTGCGTTCAATATAAGGAGTGTCGAAGATCATCCCATGACAGAAGTTGAGTTACGAAGAAGTCGATAAACATTATCTAGATGTGTCTAGGATAAGTGTGTGAGTACTTCTTGTAATCATCATTCTATAGTGGATTTGTGTTGGATTGAGGAGTCCCGTGGATTTTCCCCAGATGTGGGGTTTTACCACGTAAAATAATTCTTTGTGTGTTCTTTTATTTTATGCTCAGCACATATCAATCCTGCTACCGAAGTTTATTTTTATTTATTTGATTATAATCTTAAATTGGCCTATTCACCCTCGTCTAGGCATTTGTAGTCATCCTACAGGTATTTTCAGTGTGTCTACTATGAGATATCAAATTTGCATCAATGGTGAACTGACTGACTCATTTTCTCCCAATAGTGGCATTCGCCAGGGGGATCTTTATTCCCTTATCTTTTTGTTCTTAGTATTGAGAAGTTGTCTCATATTATTGTTGATGTTTTCCAGAGAAAACAGTGGAAGCCTATCAAAACCTCTCGAAGTGGTCCTAGTGTGTCACATTTGTTCTTTGCAGATGACCTTGTGCTTTTTGCTGAAGCTACTCCTTGTCAAGCTCGTGTGATGAAAGTTTGTTTAGATTTATTTCATAGTGCATCTTGTTAGACTGTGAATTTCTCTAAGTCTGTAATTTTTTGCTCCCCAAATACTTGTAAGGAGGTGGCGAAAGAGATTAGTGCTATTTGTGGCTCTCCCCTTATAGAGAATTTGGGGAAATACTTAGGCATGCCCCTTTTGCATAGTCGTGTGACTAAAGTTACCTATAATGGTTTGCTTGAGAAAGTGCAAAGTAGGCTTGCTGCCTCGAATAGGAAGTGTCTCTCCTTAGCTGGCAGAGCTACTCTCATCCAAGCTGTCACATCTTCCATACATGTGTATACGATGCAGACTGTAAAGTTACCAAGTAGTATTTGCGAGGATCTTGATCGAATTAATAGGGATTTTTTTTGGGGAGGCAGTGGAAAAAAGCAGAAGGTACATTTATGCCAGTGGGATTTGGTGTGTCATCCTAAATGTAGGGGTGGTTTAAGCTTCAAGAAAATTGCAGACATGAATTAGCAAAGATTGGATGGAGCATGCACACTCGTGATCAAGGGTTATGGGCTCAAATTTATGCGGAGAAATACCTAAAAGACTGCTCTATCTTGGATACTCATGTGGTCTCCCAGCAAGATTGTTCTGCTACTTGGAGAAGTGTTCTCTATGGTGTTAAGTTGCTGAGAAAGGGAATGGTTTGGAGAGTGGGGGTAAATTTCTGGAAGGACCATTGGGTGGCTGATTCCCTTTTGTTACATCATGCAGGGGTGCAATCCGAGATTGATTTGGATTGCAAGGTCTCTAATTTCTTTAAAGAAGGGTGGTGGGATGTTGAGAAGTTAAGAATTGTTATTGATGAGGATATATTGCAAAAGATTACCTGTTTTCCTGTTGGTTTTGGTGGTAATATCCATGATGCTCAGATATGGAGGCCTACTTCTAACGGCCATGAAGGTTCTAATCTGCTTTTCAGTTGATCCATGAAGGTTCTAATTGGTCTGATGCTTGTTGGAAGGGTCTGTGGATTATGTTTCTCCCTCCTAAGTTGAAAGTTTTCTTATGGCTTGTTTTCCAAGGTAAGATCCTAACTAATGAGCAAAGAGTTAGGAGACATTTGGCTGTGGAGTCCTCTTGTTCTGTCTGTGGTTGGCATTCTGAAAATATTATTCACATTGTTAGGGATTGTGGGCGTGCTAAGGAAGTGTGGCTTACTATTCTGCCTCTTAAGTTAATTCCATGATTTTTTCTTATCTGATTTTGGCTTCGGAGCAATCTCTTTAGCTAAGTGGGTAGGGAGGTCCCCTTGGAATACTATGTTTGTTTTCACTTGTTGGTATGTATGGAAGTGGCGTAACCAACATATTTTTACTGATGCTGAGGTCTTGTCTTGCAATCCTAGGAAGTTGCTGCTGTTTTGGATTGGGTTAAGGCTTCTAGTGTGAATTGTAGGAATGTTCCCAAAATACAGGTTATGTTAAGGTGGGAGCCACCTGGTAGTGGGTGGGTTAAGCTCAATGTGGATTGCTCTTGCATGAATGCTTCTGGAAAGATTGGTGCTAGTGGGTGTGATTAGGTATTGCTTTGGGGAGTGGTGTGGAGGTTTTGCTATGAATTTGGGGAAGGGGCAAGGGCAAAACCATGAATTTTTCAGTGGGTGGTCTAGTTAAAATTTTTAGCTTGAAATCTAATGATTTTTTTTTTATTAAAAAAAAAAAAAAATCTTACCTTTGCAGTGTGAATGCCTAAAAATTTCTTACCATCAACCGAATAAGCTTCACAAATACAAAGCGCAAAAAATATAAATAATTAAGTTTCATTTATATATTAGTTGTAAACACAAGAATAATAGAATTGGGTTAACATATTGTTCCGTTCTTAAAAGATAATACAAATAAAATTGAGAAAATAATATTTCCCTAATGTGTTGTATTGTAGTTGATGGTGAGCCGTATAGGCTTTTTTTTTTCTTATTCAAAAACCTTTTGTCAAAGGTAACAGATAATTTCAACAACAAAAAAAAGAGAGATATTGGTTTATTATTGTAGTGGGCCATATAAATATAGGTTTTTTTTTTCTTCAAAACTTCCCTAGGCTATAGCCCACCATAGCCTTGGCTGTGGTTCCGCCCTTGGGCACATATTTTGGAGGCTAAAATCTGGGGTTTGTTTGTTGGCCTCAGATTAGCAGTGGCAAAGGGCTTCTCTAAGATCCTCATAGAAATGCCGGTGGGTGTTTACCTCAGTGGTTGAGGTCTTTGTTTGCAAACCCCATGGCATCAGTTCGAATCCCCTTGTGGTTGCCCCCTCCCCTTAGAAATTTAGAATAGACTATCGATCAAATAAATAAAAAAAAGATCCTCATAGAAATGGATTCTGAGAGTGCTGTGAATCTTTTTCAGCAAAGGGATTCTTTATGTTTTCATCCTCTAGTTGCTTTCTTTCAAACTGTGGGAAGATGCTTAGGCATTTTGAGAGTTGGGATATCCAGCATATTTTCAGAGAGAAGAATGGTTTGGCGGACTGGATATTCAGTTTAGACCTGGATATTCAGTTTTTTGATTCAGCTCCTATCTGGGCTAGCTTTTCGTTAGCTGATGATTTGTTGGGGATCACTCGTGGCCGTTTGATGGTAAAGTATGATTCGTCTACGGGATCTTCCAACCTGCATCCAAACTACAAATCATGATGACGTGATGTTCAACTTCTGCATGGAAGCAACAGATAAAGTTAATAAAGCTTCAGCAGTTGTTTTTCTTACATTTGATGCTTTGGAACAAGATGTTATGGATGCTCTCTCATCTATGCTGATTCCACCTCTTCATACCATTGGACCTATCCAATTACTTCTCAATCAGATTCCAGAAGATTCTTTGAGCTCTGACTGCAGGAGTGCCTATGATCTGCTCGCCATTCTTTGCTGACCAGAGAACCAATTGTTATTATACTTGCAATGAATGGGGCAGTGGCATGGAGATTGATAACACTTTCAAGAGAGATGAAGTGGAGATGCTTGTTAGAGAGTTGATGGAGGGAGAGAAGGGTAAGAACACTCTTTGCCGTGGCCAAAAGTAAATGGCAATACCCTTTGACGACGAGTATGATGTCACCCTTATTATGTGGTAGATCCCACCATGTCTTCCCAACCTTGCAAAAGTCTGCATCCACTAATTAAAATATTAATATTTTTTAAATCCCTGTGATCATTACCAAATGATGAAGATAGCTAGTACATTTTTTTGTTTTGTGAGCCACTGTTTTATTATAGATGTTCTAATCAATTATCTTCCTTTGTTTTAATTTCAATTTCTTATTTTGTTCTCAAAAAAAAAAAAAAAAAAAATTGAAAGAAGTAGAGACCACGGAACAATGGCGTCATGTTCAGTAAATGAAATTTAAAAAATTAAACCTCTAATAAATATGGCCACGGAAACATGGTCTAAAGCTAAATATAAAATAAAATAAGGGAAACTAAACTTGCCATGGCCACAGACAATCATGATAGCCCTACACAAACAATTTCCACACACGTTACCAAAAGAAAAGTACCCTTCAATTTGTTTCCATCGTAAACGCTAAGTTGCAAAGAAATTTTTTGTTTGAGAATCTTTTACTTTTCAATTTTATCATTTTCTTTTCATCACATATGTTGAGTTGGACATCTTGCCAAACAACAACTTGTAAACAGAGAAGAAAGAGAAGAATGCATGATAATATATGCAATATGATTCTGCAATAGCATTTTTTATCCACACAAGATAACAGAAATCCCTATGGCCTACGTAAACGATTAGTAGAATTGATTGCTTAGGTTTACTTTTTCCACACAGCTCAATTATATAACATAAATCCTAGGCAACAATTGATTCCCTTCATATTAAAATATACCTGAAAACTCTTATATTAAAATATTATATAGTGGTCGAACTTTTCAATTATAATTTGCTAAAATTTTGCCGAATGATTACCATTTAAACAAAAATCACCGGATATATAAAAATTAATTATGACTAAATCACTCGAGAAAATCTTTAGACGAGAAGTTAGAAGATTTTAGACTATCACCTTATGGAACTTATTTTCTGGCTTCGCTTGTGTTGGTTATACAGTGAAAATAAAACCAAATAAAGCTCAAACTCTGTTTCTTCAAGTGTGCAATTCTTATAATTTGGTTTTCTACTAGTGTTTTGCTTGTATGTGCAATTCTTTTTCTTTTTTTTTTATTTTGAATTTTAGAAACACGAAAATAATACACAAGAATAAGACAAACACTATCGACGACTTCAAATCAAGTTCGACTTTGCTACTTCATCTAAGTGTTTTTGTCTTGATTGATCAACTGACTTTTCTTTGCACAGATACTTGTGCGTCGAAAATTTGACTATCTATCAGTCAAGTTATTTCTGTTGCAGGTAAAGTGAAGATCCATTTTGCTACTTCATCTCATTTCCTCAATTTGTCTGACAGCTAGACTTCTTTTTTGGACATTATCCTCAGTTTCCTATTTTGACAAGTGTGGAGGGAAAAAACAGAGAGCCAAAACAGGACACATTGAAAAGTAGCTCAGTTTTGCTGTATAAATAATCTGCATTTGCAAGCACTGCAACGCACACACAAAAGCTCAGATGGATTCCACAGAAGTAGCTACTAAGCCACATGCTGTTTGCATTCCAATTCCTGCTCAAAGTCATATAAAGTCAATGCTTAAATTTTCAAAGCTTCTCCACCACAGAGGTTTTCATATAACCTTTGTTAACACAGAGTTCAATCACAAGCGCTTTCTTAAATCTCTAGGACCCAATTCCCTTGATGGCTTGCCTGATTTTCAATTCGAAGCCATCCCGGATAGCCTTCCGGATTCAGATGAAGATGCCACACAAGATGTCACCTTGCTTTGTGAATCCGTCAGAAAACAAAATTTCTTGGCTCCCTTTCTTGCCCTCCTTGCAAAACTCAACAATGATGCCATATCAACATCCAGCAATCCTCCTGTGACTTGCATAGTTTCAGATGGTGGCATGTCCACATTCACAATCACAGCTGCTGAAGAAATCGGAGTCCCTATAGTGCTGTTCTACACTATAGCTGCATGCAGCTTCATGGGAAATAAACAACTTCGCACTGTGGTCGAAAAAGGACTTGCTCCACTCAAAGGTGAAATATATATTCTATTAATTGAAGCAATTGTTGTTTAACTTATGGTTAACTCTTAACTGCTTGTTTCTAAACATGCAAATGAAATGTTTCTTCAATTGAATTTCATTTATCTATTGCAGATGAGAGCTATTTCACAAATGGCTATCTGGACACCGTAATAGATTGGATCCCGGGAATGAGAGATGTCCGTTTGAGGGATCTCCCGTCCTTCTTGCAAACCACAAATCCGGATGACATTGTATTTAACTTCGCCATGGAAGCAACCGATAGAGCTCATGAAGCTTCAGCAGTTGTTCTTCATACTTTTGATGCCTTGGAGTCAGATGTTTTAGATGCTCTCTCATCTATGCTTCCCCATGTGTACACCGTTGGCCCTCTTCAATTGCATCTCAATCAGATACCAGAACACCCTTTGAAAATGGGATACAGTCTATGGAAAGAAGAAACTGAATGCCTTGAGTGGCTAAACACGAAGGCACCAAACTCAGTTGTCTATGTGAATTTCGGCAGTATAGCAGTCATGACACCAGAACAGCTTGTGGAGTTTGGGTGGGGACTTGCAAATAGCAAGCTTCCGTTCTTTTGGGTAATTAGACCAGATCTTGTTATTGGAGAATCCGCTATTTTGCCACCTGAGTTCGTGGCTGAAACTAAGGAAAGAAGTCTATCAAGAGCAAGTTCTTAACCACCCATCAGTTGGAGGATTTTTAACGCACAGCGGTTGGAATTCAACTGTTGAGAGCCTTACTGCAGGAGTTCCTATGCTCTGTTGGCCATTCTTTGCAGACCAGCAAATGGACTGTCGCTATACTTGCAATGAATGGGGCATTGGCATGGAGATTAGTAATGATGTGAAGAGGGATGAGGTAGAGAAGCTTGTCAAAGAGTTAATGGAGGGAGAGAAGGGTAAGAAGATGAAAAATAAGGTCATGGAGTGGAAGAAACTTGCAGAAGAAGCTACTGGTCCACATGGTTCTTCATCCACAAACTTAGACAATTTAGTAAATCAAGTGCTATCGAGATAAAGTTACAGATTTTTCCATAAGAAAATTGATCTTAATTATCATTTCCATAAGAATATTTACACAATCTGTTACTATATCTAGAATTTTATGCTTCAAGCCTTCAACCAAAAGAGAAAAGAGAAAATCCAACTTTGTTTCCTAGTCTTTCCTTATTACGTACCTTAATATGTTTGACTGCTGCGCTTCTTTTTTTGACATTCTTCTTTGATCTCCTATTTTGGCTGCGCTCAATGCATCAATGCTTATCTGCAATTCTGCATGTGTCATATTCTCTTCAACAATTTCTTCACCTCAGTAAGGATTGAAAATAAAAATAAAATAAAAAAAGAGCAGTGGAAGTGGAAGAAACAGCAATTAAAAAACTGCTTCAGTTCGTCTGGTGTTCTCCCAAACAGAGGTTCTAAAGGGAGCGCAGATGGCCTGGGAAAAAAACGGTGGCTTTTATTTTGTGTGTGGAAATTGAGTTTGATTCTACGTGTGCCATCTGTTTAGCTTTCGGCATGTGTTGAGCCACATTAAGTTGATGATGGTGGTACGGCTAACCTGGGCCTTACCATTGAATTTTTTTTTTTGGGTCAAAAGTTAGGTCTTTTTTTTGTGTGGACAGAATTAGAAGGTCCTTACTATTGATTTGGCTCCTAGGAAACTTGTCATCTCCCCAGTCTTTTTTGTTTTATTTTTAATATAAGCGATAATCTAAACTACGAAGGGGAGGGAGTTTCTCGACACATACACTACCAAAGTGCCATGGGGATTTGAACTCGAAATCATTGGTCTGCATATCAAAACCCTTTTCAATTGTGCTAGACCTCATTGGCCACCCCAGTCTATTCTTAATTTGCTTGTTGAGGATTGTGTAAGGTTTTGTAATTAGGAGCAAATTATGGTTCGCTATTATTCGATGCGAAAACAAGGGCAGATCTACGTGCCACTCCAGCCCAGTGCTGAAATTTTAGAATATACAAACTTAGGTAGTTGTCCAAGCCCAAAATAGGTAAATCAAATATTAGCCCACCCCTCTATTTAAAATAAGGCCACCTTTGCATAAATCCAACCAGTGGATTGACTAGAATCCATGTGATGCAACTTTGGAGCCCCTTTGATGCATTTTTATAAGAGATTTTCTATTTAAACCCCACACTTCTCTTAGTTCACCCCATGTTCTAAGTTCACCCCAACTTTTAATTTAAATTTTTACAATTTCTTAGTAAACCCCACTATCTTCCCAAATTACCCTTAAATACACCACAAGCTAAAAAAATAAGAAATAAAATAGACTTTCTATTTAAACCCCATAAGCTATCTTTAGAGGAGGAAATATATTCTAGGCATGAGAAATAGTAAGTATTAAATTAATTTTTTTGATGATATTTTAGAGTTTTATTCATTGTCTATTTTCAAGTGCATAAACATACAAGTGATCAAGAATATAAGAGCTATGGTGGTTTTGGGTTTGCTGGATCACTAGACGTTAATTATAGCAATGGGACAAAAGGGATGAATAATGATTTTGAAAAATATCAGAAGTGTGCAGGACCTTTTCAGACTCAATGTACTGTACCAAAAGATGTACTGCATCAATATTAATAATATTATTAGTTTATGGTGATGAAATTTGAACACATGTGCTTTCTATTTTTACGTGGGTAAAGATGGATCAACTTGTACTGTACCATTCATACTCAGTTTTGCAGCTGACCACCTGTGTGGCTTCCCTGGTTTCGTGTCTTTTGAAAGTGTATGTCAATTAATATAATATGAAGAAAACTTCCCTGGTTTCGTGTCTTTTGAAGAGTTGTGGGGTGTGTGGGGTGTGTGTATAGGGTTAAGTATTAAGTTAGATGACTTTTTTTGTCTTTTTACACAATAACAAAACTTACAGCTTAATAATTTAAGTATTGGGGTGAACTAAGAGAAGTATGGGGTTTAAATAGAAAATCTCTCTTTTTATAATAAGGATAAATACTTTTTATATAATAAATATTGTTGATATGTGATCATGTTGGCCTCACCACCTCTGAAAATAAGGCCCCACGTGCCTCCATAAAGGTAAATATAATAGATTGTTTATTATAAAGGTGGATGATAATTTCCTTTTAGACTAATGACGTTTCACTCTACTAAGGTTTAGGGTTTGTATCGAAATGGGCCCCGAGGTTTCAATTTCATCAATTCCAAATCCTGTCTTAACATCCTCAATACTTAATATATTTCATCTAAAGCCAAGCAAGAACGAAGCTGGCACTTTTAAAGCACCACCAGCCTCAACTTCATGTCATGCTGTATCAACTGGTGCTTCAACTGCAAGATCAAATGGTGTAGATTGAAGCATAATGAAGAAAGGGATCATTAAGGTATAAGGTTGTTAGATTAGCATTTTGTGATGCAGTAGATGGTTTTTGTTGTTGGTTAATTGGTCCTAGGGTTTAGGCCTTGTTGTTTTTTTTAAAATTGATCTTCTATAACTATGACTAACCTTTTTTGATGGATGTAATGGCATTCACATAAGCTTGAACAAATGTGATACATCCACTGCTTGTCATTTTGGGATGGATTTGAAACAACTTGAAAGATGAAATTGTCAATGTTATTATCTGGATATTTTCAAACCATTTTGAATGGAAGATTGTCTAAGTTATTCTCTGGATATTTTGACTTCATTTTCAACATCTATTATTTTGAATATTCAAAGCAATTGTAACAGTATGTAACCTCTACAAATTAATGTTGCCTTCACAATCCCATATAGCACAAACTTAATATATTACCAAATACATTTCATAACCATTAACCTTACATAGCCATGACTGGTACGAGCAGCAGTGCCGTGTCTTGTGCTCCTGTTTTCACGAGCTACAGCACTTGAGCCTTCTCAGGGCCTCTGTGCTATGTAAAATCGTTAAACTTCCTTCCCACTTTTATTTTCTTTGAATTCTGTTAGATGCTCTGTTATTGCCCAGTTAGAATTTTGGTATTTTGAGGCCGGAGGCCACAGTTTGTAAACGCTATGTATTGTGTAATGCATGCTGGCTGTTGGGTTATAAATATCTGTGTTTTTGACAGGTTGAAATTTTTGGGTTATGTCCTGTTTACAGGGGAGACTCTGCCAAAATTTTCTCCTAGGATTCGAATCTATACAAGAGGTTCAAATTGTAGCAGCCTTACCACACCAACACATCAGCTCCTCTTCTTCCATTCTAGGAATCGATTTGCTTCTTGATCTTCTTTGCAATAGGAGTTAGGGCATACTCTGTGAGCAGTTTCCTCTAGAATTGATTTTTTGGTCTGAAACTATTGATTTGATGTTGGTTTAAAAAGGGGTAACGAAGACTTGGAATGCATGCCAAGGTCTGAGCGTGAAAATTTCTTTTTTCTTTTTTCGGAAATGCCCTTTGTGTGGCCTATTTGGATTGGGCTGTCAGGATATGTGGTAAGTCCTGCAGCTGCCACATCAACATTTAATGTCTGACCAGACGATCAATCTTACGACCGATGTGAATTGGTGATAGTTTGAAATGTTTGGTATGTAATTGATGAAATTGAAACTTCGGAGCCCATTTCGAAACAGACCCTAAACCTCGATGAAGTGAAATGGCGGTAGTTCTTTCCTTTTTGTCATGTTCCATTTTGTCTGTTGCAACTCATTGTTTATTTCTTTTAATCAAAACCTTTCAATATTGTTTATTGTAGATTAAAGATGCAAATATAAGCATGACGTTCTAGTTTTTTCTCTGAACCTTTTTCTCTATAATTCTTTTTCTGCTACAATCTTTCTTCTGCTCGATTCATATTGTTATGATGGTATCAGAGCCTATCCCGATATTTCTATAATTTCTCATATCTTTTTCTACTTTCTGAAGCTCCGTTGCTTAATTTGGGCACGAAGCCCTTACTGAATATCTGAACTTTTGAATTTCTCTTAGATTCTTCTGCGTTCTTTTCTGAATTTCTAGTTCTTTGAAGTTACTTTTGCTTCCTAAAGTATGGCTTATCTGATGATGTTATGATGGTTAACCATAACCACCGCTGGGAAAAAAAAACATAATCACCGTTATGATAGATATCCAAAAAAATAAAAAAAAATTAGCTCACCCCTATAAAAATTTATGGGTTCGTCACTGTACGAAAACAGACGTGACTCATTAAAATATATTATAATTCACTAGATTCAAATTCAAAATATGTATATCTATCTACTAGTCATACAATCCAAGGCTTAATAATTACAAGGAGAGCTAGTTTATACTTTATCTTTTATTTATTTTTTTATGAAAATAAAATGTATACCAAAATATAGCACGTGAAAGGTGCTGCCTGATTTTCTGTTCGAAACCATTCCGGACGGCCTTCCAGAAACAGATGAAGATGCCACCCACGAGGTCACTTTGCTTTGTGAGTCGTTCAGAAATTTCTTGCTCTTGGCTCCGTTTTGTGAGCTCCTCGTAAAACCAAATGAGACGGTAAGTAGTGTTCCTCCGGTGACTTGCTTAATTTTAGACGGTTTCTTGTCCATGTTCACAATCACAGCAGTTGAAGAACTTGGAATCCCTATCACACTGTTTTACATTGTTGCTGCAAGCAGCTTCATGGGCTTTAAACGGTATCGCGCACGCTTTGATGGAAAAGGGAAAGGTTGTGAGCCACTGTTTTTTTAGAGACGTTCTACTCAATTATCTTCCTTTGTTTTAATTTCTATTTCTTATTTTGTTCTCAAAAAAAAATTGAAAGAAGTAGAGACCACGGAACAATGGCGTCATGTTCAGTAAATGAAATTAAAAAAATTAAACCTCTAATAAATATGGCCACCGAAACATGGTCTAACGTTAAATATAAAATAAAACAAGGGAAACTAAACTTGCCATGGCCACAGACAATCATGACAGCTCTACACAAACAATTTCCACACACGTTATCAAAAGAAAAGTATACCCTTCAATTTGTTTCCATCGTAAACACTAAGTTGCAAAGAAATTTTTTGTTTGAGAATCTTTTACTTTTCAATTTCATCATTTTCTTTTCATCACATATGTTGAGTTGGACATCTTGGCAAACAACAACTTGCAAACAGAGAAGAAAGAGAAGAATGCATGATAATATATGCAATATGATTCTGCAATAGCATTTTTTATCCACACAAGGTAACAGAAATCCCTATGGCCTACGTAAACGATTAGTAGAATTGATTGCTTAGGTTTACTTTTTCCACACAGCTCAATCATAACATAAATCCTAGCCAACAATTGATTCCCTTCATATTAAAATATACCTGAAAACTCTTATATTAAAATATTATATAGTGGTCGAACTTTTCAGTTATAATTGGCTAAAATTTGCCGATTGATTGCCATTTAAACACAAATCACCGGATATATAAAAATTAATTATGACTAGATCACTCAAGAAAATCTTTAGACGAGATGTTAGAAGATTTTAGACTATCACCTTATGGAACTTATTTTCTGGCTTCGCTTGTGTTGGTTATACAGTGAAAATAAAACCAAATAAAGCTCAAACTCTGTTTCTTCAAGTGGGTTAAGGGTTTAGGAAGAAAAACTCTGTTTCTCTTGTGTTGCATGATCTTTCAATATATTATTGTTTAGTTAGTTAATGTTACGTTTGCTGACTTGTACATAAAATATTAGCCACGGATCTCCTTAGGCCACGGGGGTTGTGTATAATTGTGTTTCAGCCACTATTGCGCCGTGGCTTATGTATTTGAGGCCACGTGTCGTATGTGCAATTCTTATAATATGGTTTTCTACTAGTGTTTTGCTTGTATGTGCAATTATTTTTATTTTTATTTTTATTTTGAATTTTAGAAACACGAAAATAATACACAAGAATAAGACAAACACTATCGACGACTTCAAATCAAGTTCGACTTTGCTACTTCATCTAAGTGTTTTTGTCTTGATTGATCAACTGACTTTTCTTTGCACAGATACTTGTGCGTCGAAAATTTGACTATCTATCAGTCAAGTTATTTCTGTTGCAGGTAAAGTGAAGATCCATTTTGCTACTTCATCTCATTTCCTCAATTTGTCTGACAGCTAGACTTCTTTTTTGGACATTATCCTCAGTTTCCTATTTTGACAAGTGTGGAGGGAAAAAACAGAGAGCCAAAACAGGACACATTGAAAAGTAGCTCAGTTTTGCTGTATAAATAATCTGCATTTGCAAGCACTGCAACGCACACACAAAAGCTCAGATGGATTCCACAGAAGTAGCTAC